ACAAGTTGTATACCACTAGCTGTACCGTGTGAATGCCCCTTTAGTCGCCTCTTACGGGAAGCATAGTCGCCTTTTATGGCAAGCATGGATTGCTGAAGACCTAATCTACCCGGGATATTCACAGGGTTATGAGGCAACTAAACAGATCAGGTGGTCTGGTTCGATGACTTGGTTGATTTTGTGTCATCAAACCCAGACGGTGTGACATTGCTTATAATATCAATCACCAGTAGCCTGGCCTGGTTGCCTGTAGGCATGAGGCTGGTAGGAATTACCTTGGGCTAATAAAATGATAATACTACTAGCCTGTAAGTATTTTGACACAGGCTGTAAATTCTCAATCGTCCTCTTGTTTTGCCTCATCTAATCACTGTGCTGGACATTTTGCCCAACCGTTTGAGTCATAAACGATTGAAATTTGAAAGTCTTTTTATGTTTTAAGGACAAATAACCTTTTGCAGGGCTAGCAGAAAACAAATCTCACTAGTAGGGCTGGGACAGGTAACTCAGGTACCTGGGTCGGGTGGGTACTGAGTAGGACCCAGGTACCCACAGGACTACCCAGACTCATGGTTAGTCATGTGATATATTGTTTAATGACAAAAATTATCTAGAAATGGAAAAGAATATTAGTTACACTATAAGTGACAGATGTTCACATTTCTTTCTGACTATGCACACATTCCTTCTGACTTTGTATGTTTGCATTAAGATAAAACTTCAGTCAACTTCAGTGTGTGCATGACCAGATCGGTTTATACGTGTAACTAAATACATTTTGACAGGAGTAGGGTCAACGTTTCCCAATCGGACATTTTGTACCTATATCTTGAGACCAACAGTGGGTACCCTGGTAGGGTTGGGTAATAGGGGTATTGGTACCAGGGTGGTAAATTTGGACTCGTCCCAGCCCTACCTTAGTACTAGCCCTCTGAGCTCGTATTTTAAGTGGATTTCTATTCCTGATCCCCTATAGGTGGAGCACAGTGTGAATCTATAAACAAATAATTATGTGTTAAGGGTACTCTATGGCTAGAGCTGGTAGAAATAGATGTGTTTAGAGCGTGTTGCGATATTACGCTATGTGCTTGTAGTGTACCAGTTCCATCCTTGCTTTCTTCTCAGCCAAAATTGTCCGCTTGTTGGTTAGTTCATGTGAGATATGATCTATTGTGTGTTATATGCTTTGTGTGTTTATGGGGTGTGCGAGACAGTTTGATGTCGACTGGCTCACATCGTATCATGTGCAGTGAGTATGAATTATGGTAGATCATTGTGTAATAAGGTGATGAAATGGGGCCCTACTGTCCTGGAATATTGATTACTATCAGTCATATGTGGCGAAGCAGGACGATTTACTTGACAGAGTTTGAATAGGATGCAGGGGCCTACTGCCAACGACTTTGTTATTTTATACTCCAGCAGGTATCAGGGATCTCCAGCAGATGTCACAGATTGCACTCATTATAACTTTTGTCACAGATTTCTCACTCATGGGGCTATTGGTTTTACAGGAGTGGTGGTGTGGTCTTGTGGTTAAAGTGTCACCCATAACCAAAGTTCAGTTCCCACATGGCTGCAATTAGTCTGTCATACAGACCCTGAAACAAATATATCCAATACAGCCCATGCAAGTCTATAATGTTTGGCAAGTCGAGATTACTGCAGTATCTGAAAATGTAGAAAGTCTATGGGGTCCTTTTTATTATATTTTATAACTTTAATTTAACAACTGTTTTTTTCAGAGACTAGATGTTAGTCTAGGCTACAATGTGTGAAGCCCCATTCTTGGTTGTCCTTGCTGGCATATTGCTAAATGCAGTCTGTGCCAAAAACTGTTGAGTCTACCCGCCCAAACCTGTCACTTGTCATCATCTCAAAAGAAATGTTGCTCGACTTGGGCTTTGGACTTGAGGCTAAAGTCACAGACCTTAAATGCAGTGTCAGGGTTAGAAACTAACTGTTTTAGTCCACTGGTCCTTATGATGATAACATAGAGCAAAACCCTTAATAATGGCCAATTTCTACTAGTCCTTTGGATACCTTAACTATTGGGCAGTTTGGCAAGGACTATAGGACTAGTGCCAATTTCTAATGCTGAGTGTTTTTGTCATTTCTTTATTTCACCAATATTTTTTTGTCACTGTTTGGAAATAACTTAAGTATATAGCGTATGTTGACACCATCATTGTGCAAAAACATTCTGAGTTTACTTAACCGAACATGTTAGTATCATCTTCGATAAGTTACCTACCTAGGTAGTGTTATAATATGGACTAATATCAGCTTACTCGGCCGAACAAAACTTTACCAGATTTGGGTCTCAGGCAAGTGGCTAAAGTTGTGGACTGACATTTGACTACTGGATTGTATGACACATACTCAACTAGTTTACAGGGATTCATATATAGCTGGAATATTAAATATAAATATAAAACATCAACATCAGAGAATAATCAGTCTGGATTATCTGCCGAAACAGATTCCATTGGGCGTAATAGTGATGGAACTCAGTGATGACACCGAGTGTTCACGAAAAGAGTTAGCATGTCCTGCTCTACCAGTAGCATTGGCCGCTCACACAGTTTACAGCGGTAGAAACTAACAGTTTTACTCCACTAGTCCTTATAATGATAACATATAGCAAAAGCTGTAAAAAGGGCAAATTTCTACTAGTCCTTATGATACCTTAACCATTTGGTAGTTTGGCAAGGACTATAGGACTAGTGCCAATTTCTAACACTGATTTGCAATAAAAAATATTTGTTTGTTGCCCAACATTATAAAAGTCCCGAATAGGAAACAAAACAAATCAATCTGTGATTTGAAATTATAATGGGTTTACAAGGAGAGATGGATTGTAAGCTCCTTCTGCAGGGTTAGAAATTATTTTTTATTTTCACAAGTCTTGCTACACAGATGCCATCTATCTTATGATAAAAGTGCTTGACCACAAGGACATGTCACTGGTTGTTCGTTAGTCTCAGACAAGCAGATGTTTGTTAATTTGTGTATCTCCTGTTTGAGTGTGACACAGGACACCTTTGTATTGTCCCTGCTATTCTGACAGCAGTTTGGCCCCCACTGAGAACCACTGGGCCCCCAACAGATCAACAACACACAGGGTATAATGCTGTATACAAGCTGGTGTAGGAGGTTTGGGATTTCAGATGTTGATGTTGGTTTTGTTCCATGAGACCAGGTTTAGTGGCAAAAATAGATTTTCTGTAGCTTTCTGTTGATACTGATAGCGTTTTTAGATGTGAGTATTTGTTGTCATGCTTGGAGTCTTTGTTGAAGAGGGCCTAGACCCAGGTCTACTGACAGACATAGAAAGTTGGATTCAAGCGATAATCACTTTGAAAGTCTGCTATCTCAAACGTTATAATGTGCCTCAAACATTTGATTATTACCCTACAGGCCACAGAGCATAATCCTTTATGGTCTTTGTTACTTTTTGAGCTAGTTAAGGTTTTGGTGTTGATTTACAAATGATGATGACTGCCTCCGTGGTCTAGTGGTAGAGTGTCCGCCTGGAGAGCGGGAGGTCCGGGGTTCGATCCCCGGCCGCGTCATACCAAAAGATGTTAAAATATGGTACTTGTTGTTACCCTGTCTGGCGCTCGGCATTAAGGGGCTAAAACAAGGACTGGTCGGCTCGGAGTCCGTATACTGTATCTGAGTGGGGTATTCATGTTAAACTGCGGCATGGTATCTCAGTGAGCTAGCACTATAAATCGGCATCAGTCCGGACTAGTACAAGCAGCCACACAAACACATACATGTACATGCACGTCGCTATATAAGTGCAATAATCATGGACGCGACGTTAAACCCAATTTCACCTCACCTCACAAATGATGATATATTTATAGAAATATGTAGGTAATTGTATGAGGTAGAATCTTTCCTTCCACGATCTTATGCTATCAGTGGTAAGAGATGGTAGGTTTACTATAGTAATGTAAAAGTTGGAACATGGCTAATTTGCATACATTGGCAATTACAAAAAAATGGGCTGTAATATTGCTGAAAAATTTAATGCATCAATTATTTGAAAATAGCGGGATACTTGTTTTACTCGCCTAATAAAAGTTTTAACTGACATGGAATGAGTTTTTTATAAAGAGCAATTCTGTTGTTAATGCCTTGAAGTCTTTATCTGTTGCTTGATGCTGTCAAGGATTGTTGATTTTCTTGTCTGAACGACCTGTCTGAGTCCTCTTAACCTTTTTTGCCAAATTGGCTTTGATAATGGTGGCTGTAGCTTAAGACATATTGGCTGGCTCACTTAACATGTAAGAGGCCAGATCCCATGTAATGCTACTTGATAACCACTACTTACATTCTGTTCTGTCATAGGCTGATCATTGATGGTATTGGGCATGTAAAAACACAAAACTGACTTGAACGTATTACGTTAACGTTAATAAAGACCTGCTCAGAGGTCAATATTCGATCCCAGTCTGCAACAAATGTCACATCTTCCCATGGCAAAGGAGTTAACCGACTACAAAAGTCAGTTTCCACCTTTGGCAAACTACGCTGGAATTTCGTGGCTCCATCATACCGCCACCAGTGGCTATTACAAGTTATGTCCCTCCTATTGACCAATCAGATTCCACCTCTCATATCACTTGTATTTGTTTCAACCAAAATGGCAGTGCCCAGTCAAGACGATCCAATTGATAATCAAGATCTATATTGTAATACAATGGGTCTAACCCCGTGAAGTGCATCAAATCGTTTGAGCACCTTGATTAAACACATGAAAAGATTTTAAACATATCTGTCAACGCTAAGTTGACAGTTCACATGTTATGCAAATCCTGCAGTTGATCGAAATCTGCACGTAGAAATCAAGGTTTTTACGAACCAGACATCTAGTTTGTTGTGCGATTTTGATTGGACTACGCTTGGACTATGCCGCTATGGTATCCATGTATCTGGAATGATGCTGACTGGAACATCACTCCTCACTTACATCCACCATGTTGTAGGTGACGTGCTGGGTCTGCTCCTGGACGTGGACAGTCAGAAACTGATCTTCTATCTGAATGGAGATCCCCTGCCTCCTTTCACTCAACTCTTCACCTATGCACGGTAAGTGTCACAAGTCCCACCGATGGATGAACAAAATGTATCCAGGGCTGAAATAAAATGTTAGAAAAATAAGAAGTTGGTGAACAATGTTCATTCAATTTCTGGTTTGGAATCAAGATTGAGTCGAAACTTATTCAAACTTTATTTGCTGAAAATATGTAATATATAGAATGAAAAAAATTAAAAAAATTGTTGTATATACAAAAAATATTCTAGTAATGGGTATTTTGGATTTAATGCAAAGTTTCACTGTCAAGTGTCAGTATGAGTGTGGCTTTCAAACACTGATTTGCATCGCCAGTGGAATCTGAAACAGCAAGAAACAAATTGAGATGTCTTCCAGTTTTAAAAAAAAAATGACCTTATAAACGGCGATCTGTGAAGCAGAAATTGAGCACCGAATGGGTCCTCCGTGCACCACAGCTTGGAAATGAATAATAAAAAAAAAAGCAGCCATATTAAAATATTAAATTTTTTTTAAGAATTTTTAGAATTTGTTGGCTTCCCTTCGAACTAAATATGGAAAATTTTGAATTTCTGTTCCCACATTTCCATATGCAAAACTGCAATGTTTAAAATAAGCATAAGTACTATCATATTTAACATAATAATTAATATCTTGCACTAGTCACTACTAGTCTTGTGGCCTAAATGATCAGAAATTTGGATAGCCATAAGTCTAGTGGATAATTACAAACATTTGGAGGATTTCCAATAGACATCCTGAAGGAGAATAGTGGCTTTAAAGTGTTGCTTTCTACAACTGTCATGCAGTAAAAGGGATCCTGTTTGCATTGTCGCACGGCATTTCTTTCACAGCGTACATTTGATAATGGTATTTAGTCGAAAGCCTAAATGTGCTTTTTATGATTTTCTTCATTTTCCCCCCCATTATTTCTGTTATTTCTAAATATAAGTTCAGAACAATTGCTGTCTACATATTTTGTATATTTTCAGGAGTGGTTTTTTTGCTGCTGCCAGTTTTATGTCATTTCAACAGTGTGAGTTCAACTTCGGTGCCAAGCCATTCAGTTTCCCCCCAAATGTACCATTCAAGAGTTTCAATGACTTTGGGGAGCTGACCAGTGAAGAGAGGATTATCTTACCCAGGTCAGTTCTTGCTGTGTTGCCCTGTGAATACATCCTCAGCACCCTGGCTTAGCTCATCTTGGGGATTCCAGACAGAATACATCCCTAGCTACCCATGCTGTTCTTCCTATGGATTCCAGACAAAATTAGGTCCCCAGCATCTAGGGGTGCAACAAAAACACTATGAGGCAAATACGACTCGTATCATGAATATAGGGTAACTAATATGAATATTTATTCACGATTACAATAACAAGTCAGCAGTTGATGAATTATGTATTATATTCAGTGAAACAATAACAACATAACTTATTTGACATAGTTTGTTAATTATTTATTTATTATACATTCTGTATACTGCTCTTATCCAGGTACTAGTATCTGCTCAAATGTGACAATGACCCGTGACCACAATACTGTCAAATTAAATATATGAGTGTTGTCTTCTATGCATATAATATATTTTTAGGGATATTTTAAGGAACAAGGTATGTAAATGCACATAACTGCATATAAAAAGATATTTGATTCTAGTGACCACGAATAACGAATTCAATTCATGAATGGATAAGGTTCGATTCACTGAATATGCGAGTGAATCGTAACAGCCCTACCAGCGTCCCTTCCTTGACTCCATTTAGGAATTCTGTATAGCATATTCCACAGCACTCCATGCTTGATTTCCTGAGTGTATTCCTCACAGAATTCAATTACCAGAACCTCATACTTGTATCCCCTTGGCAAAATCGGAGCAGAATACATTCCTTGCTTGACTCCCTTTGGGAATTCCAGACAGAATATGTCCCCAGTACCCATGCTTAACCCCATTTTGAAATTCGGTTAGAACATGTCCCCAGCACACATGCTTGACTCCATTTGGGAACTCTGGATAGAAAATGTCCACAGCACCCATGCTTGACTCCATTTTGGGAACTCTGGATAGAAAATCTCCACAGCACCCATGCTTGACTCCATTTGGGAATACTGGATAGAAAATGTCCACAGAACCCAGACTTGACTCCATTTGGGAATTCTGGATAGAATAGGTCACCAGCACCCTTGCTTGACTCCATTTGGGAATTCTGGATAGAAAATGTCCACAGCACCCATATTTGACTCCATTTGGGAATTCTGGATAGAATAGGTCACCAGCAGTCCAGTGCTTGTCAGGCTGATCATTCTGTTCCAAATTCTAGTTAGCGCCATCATAACAAATAGATTGACAGGTCTATAACAATGTCAAAATATATTAGCAAATCCATCACAATATCTGGGAGCTGTTGCGTATGTCTAGCCAACTCTTTTGAGTAACCTGAACTTGTTCTGCCATTGCAGTCAATACTCAACAGACAGATTCTTATTAGCCTCAGTTTACAATAGTAACATAATCATTATGGTATTTGCTGGCAATTCAGCTGCTACACTGTACACTGATAAGTATATGGGTTGGTGGGAAAGCTTAGTGGTAAATGTGTTCACTTGTCACTTTGAAGACCCGGGTTTGATCCCCCACATTGGTACGACGCCTCGGTGGTCTAGTGGTAGAGCGTCTGCCCAGAGAGCGGAAGGTCCGGGGTTCGATCCCCGTCCGTGTCATACCAAAAGACATTAAAAGATGGTACTTGTTGTCACCCTGTCTGGCGCTCCGCATTTAAGGGCTAAAACAAGGACTGGTCGGCTCTGAGACAGTGTTCTGTGTCTGAGTGGGGAATTAATGTTAAACTGCGGCATGGTATCTCAGTGTGCTAGCACTATAAATCGGCATCAGTCCGGACTAGTACATGCAGACACACACACACACGTCGCTATATAAGCGCAATAATCTTGGACGCGATGTTAAACCTAATTTCACCTCACCTCACCCACGTGGGTACATTGTGTAAAGCATATTTGTAGTGGCCCCTGTCATGATATTGCCAGATGTAAGATGTACATTGGACTTAAGACTTTAATGTTTGAGACCATGTACTTTCCTACACTGCAATATGATGTATAAACTTTAATAGTTTATGCATACTTGATATATGCAGTATGTTCGTATTATTAGAGTGAATGTGTGAGTGAGAAGTATGTTATTTTCTGTAAGAAAACTAAGATGTACTGATAAGTTGTGCTGTACGTCATGGCCTTTCTGCTACCCTGGGCGGAAGCGCATTTTATGTAACAGGTACTTCTTTTTAAAAGAAAAAAAAAAGAAGAAAAAAAGAGATGTACATTAGTTGTTCATGTTTCAGGCACAAAAAGTTGGATTTGTTGAAGCAGGTGACTGTGAAGGAAGATTCTTGTACACTCTGTTTTGATCGCCAGGCCAACATCATGCTAAGGCCATGTAAACATAGGTAAGGCCATGTAAACATAGGTAAGGCCATGTAAACATAGGTAAGGCCATGTAAACATAGGTAAGGCCCTATTCTTTTTGGGGTGGACATGTTTACGGGGTTTTTTCCCAAACATTATGGTTGGTAGGATTGAAAAGAATTATATAAAAAACAAACAATTTCAACGATTTTTTATGTTTCCTTCCAAGGGGAGGGGGGTAGCAGGAGGCAAAGGGATTCATTATAATTTGTTGTGTTTTTAAGATAAATTTTCCAAAGTTTTTGATCATAGTATCGACATACTGGGTTAAGAGAAATTGTTTTTTAAACTTTATACTTATTTCTGATCAGTGTAATAAACAAAACTGTTCTTTTCAAATGTTTTAATTTTTCACATTTCATTTTTGGGGGAATGGGCAGGTTTGTAAACCAAGTGTTAAAGAAAGTCTGACCTAAGGTGAAGCCTATTACTGATAGGACAGATTTTGTGCCCAGTGACAGTGGGAGGATTACAAAAGCTGCAGGGAACATGTGTTTAGCAGACTGGACATACATTACCGTTTCCCCCGTCAACAGAGGCATATTTCAATCAAAGTCCCATGCCTAAGGAGACACCACATGTAACCTGTGTTTCAGTGTGGGCAGTAACGAAGCCCAAGAAACTCTCATTTAAAACTTGCAATGAGTTGTCTGGTTCTTGGGTTGGAAATAACTATTTAAAATCAATAACCCCTATCGTTTTATTATTGTTTTAGATTACCGTATTCGATGAAATAAGCGCCCAGGGCGCTCTCAAAATTATAGATAGGGGACTCTTATTAGAATAAAATTTTGGTGAGAGATAAAAACAACAGTTTAAAGGTCATAAATTTTGTGGTTTATGCTGCCAGCCTGAAATGATACAAAAGAAAAGTCTGTGCGTATTATACAAGACAGATATATTTTTCCAGAATTTAATTGCCCAAAATTAAGGGTGCATAATGCATATAACACACGAGTGCATATTATACACGAATAAATATGTCTTGTATATATTGATCAATCGGAAGGGTGATAATTGGGATTGTTCACTAGCCAATATATCAGTAAATATCGCAGTGGGCGCTTATTAGAGCGGGACGCTTATTACGTCGAATACGGTATTTATAAATAATATCATATTAGGATCTTGTAAACATGAATTGTTTGATAGGCATTACATAAAATTGATAGATGACAAAGTAGACACACTTTCTGGATAACAACTTTTTGAATTAGTATAAAGGCGATGTCAATAAGCAACCCTTGTTGCCTGACAACGCTATAAGGATCTATACCAAGACGTTGCCTTTACAGTAATTAAGGAAGTTGTTGTCCATAAATCAGGTCTATTTGGTTGCAAATATGAGTCAGCCAAAATTGTAGAGATGAGGAAATTCATTAAGTAAGGATAAGAATTTATGGAAGAACAACTTCTTTTTTACAATTAATAAAAGAAAGAAGTTCATCCATAGATTCTTATCCTTACTTAGTACTCCAACTTCTAAATGCCTATCAAAGAAGAGTATAAATGTCAGCTATTGGTCCTCAATAATCCATGGTTGTTGAATAAGACGACTTAATGGATCAGTTGGTGAAAGTTGGTTATTTTCTTCATTGTGTGTCATCGTACTCTGAAGGCTTAGAATGTTGCTCATGATGTCAGCTACTGGTTTGCCCGACACGATTATTTACATGCTGCTGTGATATAGCTGAACTTTTACTGACAGTGGCTTAAAACAACATTCACCGGGACTCAAAGTTGCGACTACAACGGTCGCTAATGTCACCTAAATTTCAATTTGTCTACTGTCTAAAATTCATAGGTAGCCAGATGACTACCTTGAAAATGTCTTGTGGCAACTTAATTCTATTGCTTCACATTTGAAGACACACAAAAAAAAAACTGATTGTGAAAAACATGTCTGCTAATAATTGTACTTGCGTATAATACTTCCTAAAGTCAACAATGAACAGAAATACATAAATATTAATATAATTATGTCTCCCCCAGAATGGAGGGAGACATATTGTTTTTGGCACGGTTCCCGTCGGCGTCGGCGTTGGCGTCGGCGTTCCCACCGTTTCCGGACCATAACTCAGAAACCGTTTAATATTTTTTCGCGAAACTTTGTATACACATTAACCGAGCACTGAAGTGGTGCCTTTTGCTATTTAGAGATTTTTGACATTTTTATTTTTTCTCGTTTCAATGGAGATAACTTGAACATAGACTCTGAATGGGGGTAAGCTTGGTTTCCGGACCATAACTCGGAAACCGTTTAATATTTTTTCGCGAAACTTTGTATACACATTAACCCAGCACTGAAGTGGTGCCTTTTGCTATTTAGAGATTTTTGACATTTTTATTTTTTCTCATTTCCATGGAGATAAGTTGAACATAGGCTCTGAATGGGGGTAAGCTTTGTTTCCTGACCATAACTCAGAAACCGTTTAATATTTTTTCGCGAAACTTTGTATACACATTAACCCAGAACTGAAGTGGTGCCTTTTGCTATTTAGAGGTTTTTGACATTTTTATTTTTTCTCGTTTCCATGGAGATAACTTGAACATAGACTCTGAATGGGGGTAAGCTTGGTTTCCGGACCATAACTCGGAAACCGTTTAATATTTTTTCGCGAAACTTTGTATACACATTAACCTAGCACTGAAGTAGTGCCTTTTGCTATTTAGAGATTTTTGACATTTTTATTTTTTCTCATTTCCATGGAGATAAGTTGAACATAGGCTCTGAATGGGGGTAAGCTTTGTTTCCTGACCATAACTCAGAAACCGTTTAATATTTTTTCGCGAAACTTTGTATACACATTAACCCAGCACTGAAGTGGTGCCTTTTGCTATTTAGAGATTTTTGACATTTTTATTTTTTCTCGTTTCCATGGAGATAACTTGAACATAGACTCTGAATGGGGGTAAGCTTGGTTTCCTGACCATAACTCAAAAACTGTTCAATATTATTTCATGAAGTTGCAACATATTAACCAAGTCCTGAAGTGGTGCTTCTTGCTATTTAGAAGTTTTTCACATTTTATTTTTTCTTGTTTATGGAGACAAGTTTAACTCAGACTCTGTATTGGGATGGGCTTTGTTCCAGAACTAAACTCAACACCCCTTCAATATTTCTGTGTCTTTTGCTTATAATGAAATTTAAGAATTTGATCTTTTCAATATTATTGAATTCAAAGCAATTCTAGAATTAAAATATTGTGAATTATTTTTGTGGGAATGAACAGATGGGGTTTAACGTGAAGTAAACGAATGAATGGGGGTTAGGGGAGTGGGGGGAGACATATGTTTTTACGAGTAAAAACACTTTCTAGTTAGTATTTATTTCAGTTGACAATGCTCATTAGATAAGCAAGGATATACCTAAATAATCTAGTTACATAAATTGCATCATTGTTTGAGTCACAAATAACAAACATCAAGCACAGTATCCACTAATATACAGTTTCAAGACTAGTGCTATGACTTGTACATATTATATTTAGTTATTTGATAAGATAATTTCAAATGCTTTTAGCTACCTACAATATTGGCTTGACTTCTTGATTTTACCACTGGCTACAAGGAAAAAAATGCTTGTAGCCATATGGATATTTGGTAAAAATTTAAACTTTGAGGCCTGTTCACTCACTCACTCACTCACTCACTCACTCACTCACTCACTCACTCACTCACTCACTCACTCACTCACTCACTCACTCACTCACTCACTCACTCACTCACTCACTCACTCACTCACTCTATTCTTGGTGTTGTTGCAGAGGCTTCTGTGATGTCTGTGCCTTGCTACTAGAGATCTGCCCAATATGTCGCATGAGCATAGTGGAACGACAAGAGGTTGCCACGGAAACCGAGGTCCCTGTACCCAATGAGAACACAGACGAACCACTGACATCATAACATCTACAATGTACTGCTCCCCATCTAACCCCATCTACACCCCGTCAAGAGTATGCCGATGGGTACAGTCAATTGAAGCATCTAGGCTCCAGGTCCTGTGTTATATATATTATCATTCTTACTGTACAGAAATGTGATGTTATTCTAATTTATATTCATAAATTCTGTAAATGTTTGTATTATTTGCAATCATGCCAGAAGTTGTGAATACTGTGCAAGTCTCACCTCACAGAGTTGTTGACTCTTCGACATATTATGTTGTTGTATAGCCAGAGGAATATGGCAGTGAGACAGTGTCAACAACATTTTGTATAGCGCTTATATTGTAAAGAGAGTTCTCTATAAATACTTTGGTAAACATTTATCCAAGTCAGTTGATGTTAATTTTAGCAAAGATAAGCCCTGTTGAAAATATTCATATGCTATTTTATAGTGGTGGGACGGTACACCGATTCATCGGTGGGTCGCTATATTTTAATTCCCGATACAAATATCGATCACAGTCACACTAAATCAAAAATATCGATTCATACCTTAAATGTTTACTGAAATGGATGTTACACCAAACACTAATTAGTAATGAAATTTAGTAGTGAAAAATTAAATATTTTAATACATTGCGCCATACTTGACACTGCCAACTGTAAATCGTCAGCGTGCCAGGTGTTTGACTATCCTGCCTATGAAAGATATTGCTTAGTGACCACAGATAAGAGCACATACATGTATCGTGATACGTATCGAATCGTGAACAAGGTATCGTTATACGTATCGGATCGCTCAGTTGGTGTATCGTCCCAGCCTTACTATTTTATCCATTTTGTTGCAATTTCAGACGACTGTTGTAACACTATGTATAGATTCTCATTGCCTTGTTGAATTCATGATTATGCCCTCAAGACAGGGGTACAATTTTACACCATTGACATGCATTTGGGCTAAGAATACAATTGAGGCTCAAGTTTATGGCTTCTTAATAATTGGTGCAGGTAGGTGGCCAATTTTTAGCTGACGTTGACATCATCAATATGAGGTTATGTCATTGGATATGTCCATTCCTTCATCTTGCTGTTCATCTGTTGACATCGAGGATGTCAGCAGGTGTATATTCAGAGTACTTAAAAACATTTTTGAAGATAGATATTTTATTATGATCTTGATTTAATCTAACTTTCCAATTGAAAAAAGAAGGAGGTTAGTGTGTGATTATTTACGCTAGACTCACTTGTAAACTTTTGTGCCAAGTTCACACTTTACTATAGAGACCTATAGGGAAGTCACTCACGGTGTTAACAGTTTCATCGCGATAGATAAGATGTTGATCTGAAGCAAAACATTGTGATTTTTATTAATGGACATTGGTAACGTGCTACTTTTTTATCAAATAGGTAAAACATTTGCATTTACATATTTTCATCAGTTTTTAACTCGCAGCTACATTCTCCTGATAACTTCATACAGTGCCATGATGTCCTGAAACAATGTTACAATGAGGTGACTTGATAGTTTAAAGAACATTGAGGCGCTTCTCCCATGTATTTTTGACATGTCATAAAATTGAATTTAATTCATGTTATGTTGATGTATTAGGCTAATAAAATAATAGTCTTGGTTTTCAGGCACTGCGGCATCAACATAAAGTTTGCCACACGTTTTGTTTTCATTTCCATTTTTTTTTAAAGTCCAAGGGTAGTCAAATACAGTATTCCAGTATTTTACTCATCAAGGAATACTTTTACGTAGGCCTTTCCCAGGTTGACTGTACACAACTGTATATTTGGTTGCACAACTCTTTATTTGGTTACATACAAGTTTGAACAGCTAGAAAACTATATTTTCAAAATTTATTGCCTGAGAACCAATTCTTTTATTTTTTAAAGCCTTTTACTGTATCATTGACAATTTGACCTTAACTCTATCATTCTAGACTGCATTGCTTAATACTGAAGATAGATTACCGTATTCGACGTAATAAGTGCCCCACTCTAATAAGCGCCCACAACATTTGCTAATATATTGGCTAGTGAACAATCCCAATTAGTCACCCCTTCCAATTGATCAATGTACGCAAGACATATTTATACGCGTATAATACGCACTCGTGTGTTATATGCACCCTTAATTATGGGCAATTAAATTCTGGAAAAATATATCTGTGATACATAAACATTTCAGACTGTCAGCATAAACCACGAAATTTATCTTTGAACTCTTTTTTTTTTTTGACAAAATAATATTCTAATAAGAGCCCCCAATTTCTAATTTTGAGAGCGCCCTGGGCGCTTATTACGTTGAATACGGTAACTTCAAATAGGTTGTTTAAGTACCCACAAGATGTGCAGTGAACACAAATTGGTACATGCAACCATCCTTGAACAACCTTCATCCCACTGCTACTGAAAATATCAGTGTCACATTGAACACATGTAGTACATCTCGGGCTCAAAGGATGGTATTCATTCATAAGTTTCAGGAGCACATTGTAGTCAGGAATGTAGTCTCCAGTTTGTATAATCCAAATAACATTTGTTATAAATAAGTTCTATGTAAACTGGGAGAGAAATTAGCCTTGAATGTCTACTAATGAATAGTGATATATATTTGCAAACATCCTAGACAATTTGTATAGCGCTTAGGGTTCCATTAGACACAATTGTTTGGCCTATGGTTACGAAGATATGCTGCAGTTGAAATGCCAGAAATGCTACAGCTATATCTTGAAATGGAGGGGTGGTCGGGTAGCCAGCCTTGTGGTTAAAGCGTTCACACGTCACGCCGAAGACCCGGGTTCGAATCCCGACATGGGTACAATGTGAGAAGCCCATTTCTGGTGTCCCCTGCTGTGATATTGCTGGAATATTGCTAAAAGCGGCGTAAAACCGTACTCACTCACTCACTTGAAATGGAAATTGTTGTGCAGAGTTATGTCCCTTCGTCATGTCATGGTTTGAAATCCAACATGCGCTAGGTTATTATCCATGATCCGTCAGCAACATACACTACTTGCTACTTTAACCAAGACAGGAAGGCCCACTCAATCTTTGAGATTTCCTCTGGTAATAATCTGAAAGGCCACGATATATATACTAAACTACTGTTATTTAGCAATACAAAACCTATCTCACTCCTACAAAATTGTACTTTGTAAAGACTTTCTGATAGTTACCCCTTCGATAGTCATATTTTATTATTTTTGTCATTGTATTAGGTTCATCACCATCATTTTCATTTTAAGTAGCATGAGTTACATTGTCCACCAGGATCTTGTTGCATTACGTCTTATCATAGAGGTGAGCTTCAGTACTCTGGTACTATTTTACAAAATGTGTGATAAAATACTACCCAGGGTCCTAAGTTTCAGTTTTGATCTCAAACGAAAATGTTTTCCTGAGGGAACAAGATGTCTACGCCCATGGAAACAAGAATAATGTATTGGTTGTAGAAAAAACTGTTTATGAAACTGAGTTATTGACAAATATCTTTTGATCAAAGGTTTTAGAAAGATGTTTTGCTGACTATTAATGATGGGACAATGATATTATGTTAATGTTTCTGTAATTACAATTACCAAAATGATGTATACTGTTTGTTCCAAGATGGGAAATGAATGACAAGGAAATCTTTTGTTTATAACACTCATTCATCATGACGCTTATTGTTCATTTCAAGAAACCTTTTGTCAGCTTCTGTTTTAACTTCTGCAATTTTTGTTATTGATAAACAAATCACAAGTTGGATATTACTAGATTTAGACAATTTTATCGACAACAATATGTCATTTTACGTGAATTTGCTGACTATATGTTGTTTATTCAACAACTCAATGGCTGTGATTTTTTGTCAATTTCTCTTTTATGGCTATGGGTAGTTTAAGAGTCCAACAAGTTTTGGATATGTATAAATATTTTAATAGTTCATAGACTGTTGATTACCCAATTCACAAAGTTTAGCTTAATTTTCAAGCTCTTTATGTTAATAGGTAAATAATACTAAATATATGGTTTAATCATAATCTTGAGGTGAAGATGATTTGGTGGTTCTTGAGTACTTTCACTATTTCTGCTGTAAAGAGCACCTTGGACAAAGTGGAAATTGACAAATGGGGGCACTCATTTAAACCATACACAAATTAATTTTGTTAACAGAGATCAAGCGGGTCAGAACAAACTTAGTTCAAATAACAATGAACTAAAACTTTTCTGATACAGTTGCCAGACGGTTTTATACCCTTTCTACGCTTTTGTGGTTTCTGTAAAATTCTCAGGTTCAGTAAGGCTAAATGAATGTTAATTACAGTTAGGTCTACAAGTTTTTCGGGGGGGGGGGGGCTTAATATGGCGATTGCAGTAATTTTGATAATGGGTTGTATGACAGATGAATGCTTGTTTTTTACTTTGTGAGGTGAAATCACAGTTTTGTTATAGAGTGAACCCCAAAAGCCTTTATCTGGATATTTTCCAAGACATTGATTGTCGCTGATGTTATAATGTTTTTTGTAGTGTGATGCCTATAGTGTGGAAACTGTTAGTTATTTCTCATAGATTTATTTTTATGTTCATGAAAGTTATCAATTCATTAATACTGGCCTATTAATGTCATACATTGTTCTTGCTATCATTATCAACAGTTTGAATATGAATAAGGAAACAATTCTAGTGTTGAATCAACAGAAAGATTGTTGGATCATGGTTAATTCTTTTACCAGGGCCAATTCCACAAAGTGATCTTAGCGTTAAGACAATCGTAACTCACAAACAGTAACGTAGATTTATGACAGTCGTAACACTAAGTTGGCTTTGTGGAATGGGATTCTACAACTGACTTAGGAATGTGTTCCACAAAGTGATCTAAGTGCTAAGATGATCGTAACTCACATCCAGTAACATAGATTTATGACAGTCGTAACACTAAGTTGGCTTTGTGGAATGGGATTCTACAACTGACTTAGGAATGTGTTCCACAAAGTGATCTAAGTGCTAAGATGATCGTAACTCCCATCCTTTAACTATTACTTAACTACGATAGTCGTAGATCACAGATAGTGGTAAGATCGCTTTGTGGAAAGAGGTCCTAGGCATTACTGTGTTAATTCTTTTAATCTTGTAATTAGATAACAATACTATCTTAATCTTTGCCTCCACCCTAATACAGATGATGGACGGCACTGTTCATCTCAGCTGCACGTACTTGTTATAATGCACATATGCACTCGACTCTGCTGAGCAGTTTTACCTTTTGCACTTCTTTGGTTGTTACATGTTGGAAGATCATTGGCAATCAGATTTGGTGCAATAATGTTGAAGGTAGAGTGAAAAACTTACCTCCTGCCACCAGGCCCAGGGCCCGTTCCACAAAACCATCTTAGCGCAAAATTGATCGTAACTCCCATCTTTTAACTTTGGCTTACGATAGTCATGGTGCTGAGATCGGTGTGTGGAACGGGTCCCTGGGCGCATTCCACAAGCAATCTGAGCATGATGATAAATCCCCCACTTTCACATTGTCTCACAAAAGTCATTGATCACTTTGTGGATGGGGCCCTAAACTGTATGAGTGAGTGAGCTGGGTTTAACGCCGCTGTTAACAGTTTTCCAGTTATATCACGGCATGTCAGCTTAATGTGGAAGGAAAGCCCGAAATGATGCAGGTCTCAGACGTTTACCACTACAGTGAAACATATGAGCACGGGTATGGTGCTGACAAACCTAGAAACATAATCGGGGCGAACCAGAATTCGAACCCACAATCATAGGTTTCTGGCGTGACCATGGGACGCAACTCTGCACAGCGAATTGCAGCGCCTTAGACAACTGGGCCAAACGTGCTGCAGTTCACATGGTGACAGTAATATTGTCAACCAGGTCACAAATTGTCACAATGTGTTAAGGCAAGACAATCGCTTTCCTTGTTTTGGGGATGTGGTTATCCTCGATTTTGCAAAATTTACAAATGTGAAACAATGTGAAACATGTTTCATGAAACTTGCATCAAACAATCTTGACAACACTTTATTTCAAAATAATAATCCTCAATGCATACTGACCAAACATAGCTGTGAAACAAGGAAACAAGGGGTCTAACTCAATAATGATTGTATACAGGTATTAATAACGAAGCGCAGTCGGGTAGCCTAGTAGTTAAAGCGTTCGCTCGTTATGCCAAAAACCCAGGTTAGATTCCGGACATGGGTATAATGTGTGAAGCCCATTTCTGGTGTTCCCGCATGATATTGCTGAAATATTTCATGGGTTCAAATCGCCCCATTTATGTTTCTAGGTTTGTCAGCACCATGCCTGTGCTCGTGGGTTTAAACGTTAAACAAAGTGGTACACGTCTGAGACCTTCATCACTTTGGGCTTTCCTCTCCCATCAACACTGACACGCGCAGATATAACTGGCATATTTTTTTAAGTGGCAGTAAACTGAACTCACTCATTCATTGAACATTCTTAATGTCACAAGCAAGAAGGAAAAGTTGCACATTTGAAGGAAGTCACAATATATGTTGTTAAACTGAAACAAAATTTTGAGATGAGATTTATTCTTGACATTTTGTCCATTATTTCCATTACCACCCTTTCACATGAATACTGTCACAGATATGTCATTTTTACTGACTAATGAAATACTCTTCACTCAACATGCCTACTGGCTTCATTTATGTTTGATTTGGGTGATATGGCCTTATTCCCACATACATCAAATAACAAATATGATTTAAACATTATCAAATAAGTTTCAGGTATGAAGGTATTAATATATTTCGTCAGTTCTTGTGGAGGGAAACATCAGAAAATCGTCACTAGTCCATCTCTGTGATTATTAGGGGGCACGGGTGGCCCAGTTGTCTAAGGCACCGCAATTCGCTGCGGAGAGTTGCGTCCCTTGGACACGCAAATCCTATGATTGTGGGTTTGAATCCCGATTCGCCCTGATTATGTTTCTAGGTTTGTCAGCACCATACCCGTGCTCTTGGGTTTCACTGAAGTGGTAAACTTCTAAGACCTGCATCACTTCGGGGTTTCCTCAAATATTAAGCTGACACGCCGCGATATAACTGGAATAC